AAGACGCTACGAACGGGGCTCCTGGCCTTACTACTAGGAGCAAGACGCTACTAGGGGCTCCTGGCCTTACTACTAGGAGCAAGGACGCTATTAGGTTGGAGGCCATCTCTACTAGTAAGGTTTCTACTAGCTTCTTGTTACTACTAGTAAGGCACTTGTTACTAGAAGCGATGCACTTGTTCCTAGTAGCTTCTTGTTCTCTAGTACGATTTCAGACCCAGCACGCACTGGATCACACTGACAGACCCTGTTTTTTTTCCGCCCTGGGCGGCCTTTGCGGCTCTCGCTGACCCGATGCGCTCGTGCGTGACCCGGGCGGCCTTCGCCAAAGACGAGGGGCTCTTCAAAGCAGCGAAGGTGCATCGCTAGTAGTAACACGTGCCTTACTAGTAGCGAAGGTGCCGAAGTGGTCGACGTGTCGAGGGAGATCCCTTTTGATCGGCCCAGGTTTGAACTGCCAGTGGCGTTCCTTCTATTTCAAGACACTTTCCTCGTCTGTTTGCAAAATACGGAAGTTGAACACATTTTCCTCTACAAAGTGGGTTTGTTCTACTTCGACTTCCATATAGCGGTTGCATGGAGGGCATTTAGGTTCAACCAGTGGCCTCAAGGTCGATCTCTGTTGAGCAAGTGATGTTTGTTTTTGACGCTCGCAGACCAGTTGATCATAGACGTGTTGGGAGTTCTCATTTCGCGCTAGGGATCGGAGGCCAACTTATGAAAGCCCTCGCAAGGGTCATTAGAAGAACACACTGCCTGCAACCTTAGAAAATGAACCAGAGGTTCCGTGATTAAATACTGTATTTGGATTCATTTCCTAGCTGGGCAGTGGAATCTAGATGAATCTAGTACTATTGAGCACGTCGATCGTTTGATATCATTCAAGTTCTTCAACCTCTACAAGTGTTGATTCTTTCAATCCAGGGGCATGTTGAGAAATAGGAGGTTGGAGGCCATTGCTAGTAGGTTGGAGGCCATCATAGGCCATCGCTATTGGGTTGGAGGCCATCTAGAGGCTGTTCAATCTGGTGAGGTCAGCTCGACAGCTCCAGAGTGCCCCAGGAAGGGAATTGGCGACCAACCTGTGGTGTACCACCCTGTCGGGTTACTTTTTTTCATGAAACTTGCTCTGATTTATTGGCTCACGGTTCTCTGGATTTTTTAGCTCGATGTTTGACAGATTTCTTGCTGAAACTCAATTACCAATGTTCTACTTATCTTGACTTTCTGAAACGTTACCCGTGTCCAATCTTGTCCAGCTGGAGATCAATTAGTTGAACTACCCCGGATTCAACAACTTAACAATTCCAGGGTAAAGGGTACATTTTCTGCGTAAGATTGAGATGATGAAGAACATATACTCCCAAGTCCTGCAAGGGCAGGGCTGCTCAACTTATTTGTTTTCGCACGGACAGGGAACTCGAGTGAATTTGAGTCTGAAAACGACCCAAGCTTCCCCAGACCCTGACGGCCGTGGGAGACACCGGCTCTCTCCAGGCCTGGCAGGTCTTGTCGAATCTCTTGGCCAGTCCAAGTCATTTCGACCTGGAACTCTATGATTCCTTGCCCTCGGTTGAAGGGACTGAAACTTGGGATGTTCTTCTAAGTGGTTGGGAAGAACGCAAGTGTCTGTGGGCCGGGGTTCTAAAAGATTGAAGCTGGTTTCTCCCTCAAAGTGCATTCTGTTCATTTTGCTCAACCAGCAGAGCACTATGAGGTTGGAGGCCCTCGCTAGCAGTAGGTTGGAGGGGAATCCTCAAACCCGACGCCACGTTCGCCCGTATGGTTTCGATTTCTTCCAGGTCTCCCAGCCATCCGTGTGGGAGTACCGTGTCGACTTGCCCATTCGGCCCGAAAACGATCTTGCTCACAGTAAAAGGGGCTTGCCATTTGTCAGCCAAATATCAGTTCCCTTGAACCCTTCCAACAGGTGTTTCGTGGTGACGACAGGTGCCCAGAATGGGAACGGATAGACAGTTGTTGTACCCGCTAAACATGTATATCAAGAGGAGGTTGTTCCACAAAACATGTCCTTCTGTCCCCTACCTTAAACTTGTTGCTGGTCTTCTTTACGGATATTTTGTTCCCCTTTGGCCTACCATCCGGTCTGATGGTTTCTACGTTAGAAGACGCCTCTGAGGACACTTTCATCAGCCACTCTTGGTCATGTCCCGCTTGGATGAAATATTTGGGGATTTGCTACTACTTGAACTTGGACCTGGCGGTTGAAGCATCGACTTTGGCATGTGTTCTGGCCGTTTCCATGCTCCTCTTCCGCTCGTCTGGATCCATCACTGTTGTAGCGCAGGAAGGGCAATTTTTGCTCATGGGCGCCTTGATTCTTTTCCCCGTGGCCATGTTTCTTCTCATCTTCTTCTTCGGGCAGTTTTTTTGCCAACAGTCCTTCTGGTTTGACCGAATCTGTGTGAACCAAGCGCACTCTGCGGAGAAAGCAAAGACTTTACAAGGGATTCCAGCCTTCGTGGCACACTCTCAACAGATGCTGGTGCTTTTGGACTCCACGTATTTTGAGCGATCCTCAGAATGCAGAAGTTCTGTGTGGGATTCTCATGATATTTTGAGGCGTCTGGTTTTGTCAACGGAGCTTCCACTTGTCAAACCCTCTTGCAGTTTGCTTTGCAAATTCAACTGGGCAATCGACACTGTCTGTGTTTGTTCACACATAGACTCGTTTCCCCGAAGAAATCTCCAAAATGCCTACGCCTCTTTGCAGAAGAAGGTGCGTTCTTGATCTTGCACCAACTTCCAGAAAGTCAGCACCAGACTTGGCACCAAGAACCCTGTTCGCCTGAAACCACCATCGAACAAATTGCACCTGACCGGCTTTGGCACTAGCTTTGGTACCAGCTTTGCCTATTGTGGATGTTTTGGGTGCTCCAGAGACTATCGGGCGATAGTCGAGATTTGCCCCACATTTTTTTGTGGACCTTCTTCGTCTGCGGGTCGACGATCTCTCATAGAGTGCCTGTTTGGGGGCCCGACTTGGTTTTTGTCTCTCGCTCATCAGGATTGTGGTGCAATTACGAAGTGGCGATCGCGGCAAAGACTTTCAGAAATATCCAGTTGGTGCCTGTTTGGGAGCCAGTGTTCACCCTAGGGCTATTTGCCATCGGTCTTTTCGGTGTTTCTTGGGACCAATGATCGGCTCTCGGAAGGGTTGCAGGTTTTCACCGGACTGGAGCCTCAGCACCTGGTGGTTGCATCATTTTGCCATGCACCCAGAAACATGGCTCCATAAGGCAGATGAGGTGAAGGTCGGTACACTGCAGCAGTCGATCCAAGCAACCCATAACTTAACTAGCTTGTAATTGTGGTGCCGGAGAGTACTCTGCACACCACGCTGTCACCACATCTCCTTATTCGGTCCGTTTCGCGCAAGTTTCGTGGCTGGCCAGGCCAGTTGACAGATTGAGGCTCTCTCGTATTTTGGAGCACCAGAGGAACCCCGCATCGATGCAGATGGAGACTTGCGGAGCTCTCTGTTTCAAAGTGTGGCTGGGTTTTCTCGGTTTGGAATATATGTGTATATGTATATATAAAATTTGGCATTTGTCAAACCTTTTTAAACGTGATAAATAACATTTAAAGGACCATTTAGATCACCAACTAGGTGGTGATCTACTACTATGTTCCCTGGTACATCTGCTTGTGCTTGGCACTTCCTACGGCCTGGCTTAGCTCTCAGAAGTTGGCTCATCACAAGCTTCTGGGCCGCGTTTGTAAGTCAATCCTGGTCGGACCCGGGTTGGGCGGATTCAGCAAGGCCTGTGGTTCAATGAGTACGGTTTCTTAAAGCTACTAGTAACAAGTGCATCGCTAGTAGCTTCTTACATTGCCGCCCCGAAGACTTTCGGTGTATCCGTTGAAAGAGACGAACAGAAGAGAGAAAGAGAGAGAGAGGGTGAATTTGACAAGGATCCTCAGCCCCATAGCTTCTTGTTCTTGGTATATAGCTTCGTGTTCCTAGCAGCCAGGAGCTACTAGTAGCATCCTTGCTACTAGTAGTAATGCCCTTGTTCCTAGTAGCGATGCCCTTTGTTACTAGTAGCTTCTTGTTCCTAGCTTTCCTCCCTGACCGACAGGGTCCAAGCCACACTCAGACTCACGGTGTTGTTCCCTCAGTCTCCCACCGTCTGTGGACTCTTGATCGAAAAGATCCTCCCCGCACAACAACAACTTGGCAAGAACCTCAACAACTCTCAGGTCCAATGCACTTAAGTTTCTCCAAAAATCTAAGAACCAAATCATCAGCGTGAGCTATCCTGCGCCCAGTTACTAGAAGCTAACAAATAGCTAGTAGCGGACTACTCCCTTACTCAATTAAGTAAGCACCTACTTAATGAAGTAGGGGCCGAGGTTGATGCTGAAACAGATTACCAGCTTTGAGCTGCGAGCTGCGAGCTGCGCTTTGGCCTCGGACCGGGAGATCATCGAAGAGCAGATCATGGAGCTCTTCGACGAGGCCTTCGAACCACCAGTGTCAGTGGCGTGGCGAAGTGAGGGAGGATGGCCGTGAGGCGTTTCTCATGGCCTCGTTGTAAGCCACCTGAAGGTGGTAGCTTGCTTTCTTTTTGATTGAAGGATGATTCTTATCACATGTTTGGGTTGATGGAACATGTTTGGTGCTTTGAAGGCCCTTCAGGTGGACAGTAGGCCGGATCACTTTTCCCAAGTGCTCGCTGAATGGCTGGTGCTAAGGGATGCCTATCCTTTGCCCTTTCAAGTCCACAAAACCAATCCCGAATTGGATCCCAAACCTGATCTTTCAGGTTTGCCCTCTGGTCATTTGAAGTAACTTCGTTTTTTTTGCAAAAAGACTCACATCCCATCTTTTTGCCACTAGGAGCGATCGGATGCTACGAACGGGGCTCCTGGCCGTACTACTAGGAGCAAGTAGCTACGAACGGAACAAGAAGCTACTGGGAACAAGTGCATCGCTTCTAGTAACAAGTGCCTTACTAGTAGTAACAAGAAGCTATTTGGAAACAAGTGCATCGCTTCTAGTAACAAGTGCCTTACTAGTAGTAACAAGAAGCTAGTAGAAACAAGTGCATCGCTTCTAGTAACAAGTGCCTTACTAGTAGTAACAAGAAGCTATTAGAAACAAGTGCATCGCTTCTAGTAACAAGTGCCTTACTAGTAGTAACAAGAAGCTATTAGAAACAAGTGCATCGCTACTAGGAACAAGAGTCGCTACTAGGTTTTAACAACTCCGACGTCCCAGGTGTCCTTTCAGGAGTCGAGCTTCGACGATGGTGGTCAGGCCAGTCAGGTGGTCTCGCCAGAGAGCATGCGTCTCATCCGCCATGTCACCAGCTATCCAAGCAAGGAGGAAGTGATGCAGGAGTTCTGCTGGTGTTTCTTAAGTCAAAGAGGGTGTTTGCCTCAAGCTGGGCGCAAGCTGGGCAAGGCTGTTCTCCATGAAACTGGGCATCCCAGAGCACTAGGTTTGGTTGAGTCGTTGCTGGCCGCTTTCCGGAATTTTGGGGGGAGTTTGCTGGGATTCCCCCCGACACGGGAATTCCCGCCCTTGCAGGAGTTCAATGCCTACATTCGAGGTCCCCTGCACCTGAAACTGCTGAGCTTGCTTGGCAGTGAGGTGGATGTCCCTTTGAAGCTTTGTGTCATCGGGACGGCGCCTTCCATCCTCTTGTGTCTCACCCTCCTGTTGGGCTGCAATGGCCATCATGATTGTGACACTGCGGCTGCACGGCTGGGCTATCCTTCTGTTACCCAGTACATGCTGGTCAATGTCTTGATCCTTGACCAACCAAATAGCGACGGCCTTTTCCCTAAGAGCGATGGCCTCCAACCTACTACGGTTGGCGTCCACCCTAATAGCGATGGCCTCCAGCCTACTAGGGATGGCCTCCAACCTAATAGCGACGGCCTTTACATAGCGATGGCCTCCAACCTCCTATTTCTCAACATGCCCCTGGATTGAAAGAATCAACACTTGTGGAGGTTGAAGAACTTGAATGATATCAAACGATCGATGTGCTCAATAGTGTCCACTAGATTCATCTAGATTCCACCGCCCCACCACCAAGACCATGCGCTGAACTTGCCGTGTGATTTCGTTCTAGTTTAACTCGAGGTGTCGACCCACCGTTACAAAGAAGCTATTAGAAACAATAAGCTAATAGCTTCTTGTTACTACTAGTAAGGCACTTGTTTCTAGAAGCGATGCACTTGTTACTAATAGCTTCTTGTTACTACTAGTA